CGGTACGAGTTCGATTCTCGTCGAGACTACCGCCTTTTTTTCCGGGGTTTTTTTATAATAAAAAGTCCACACATTAGCGAAATGCATGTTTCACCTTACGCCTTATGGCGAACAAATCTTCAAGCTCGAGTCCACTTACACGCTATGTATCCGTTCGCTCCTCTTACAGTTAACCTTATTCAAACTCGGTTTATTCCTCTCTCCAAGACTATTTTCTAGCTTGCCTCCGCACACCGGGCGCGCAGTCCTAAGACCTCGTAAAAATTTTACGAACTTCATGTATACGGGCTCCGTTCTCATGATAAGCGAATTAGTTTTAAATGAACTAGTTGATCAATTCTCGCTCTCGCTTCGCTAAGCCGCCTGGAAATTATTACGAACACAGAATAAGAGCTGGCGCTGCGTGTGTCACGCGAGGTATTTAATAGCTGAAAAAAGGAATTGAACCTTTGTTTTACCGTCATGAGTGGTATGTTTTAACCTTTTAAACTATTTCAGCTTTGACGTGGGGCTTATAAGAAAATCCCTCGCCAAGCCGGTATGCTGATACGCGACTCCCTCCGCCTGCATGCTACCCTTGTCTTCATCTTCCCCTCTCTCTGCATATAATGTACGAGAGAGAGGGGGGCGGATGAGGCGGGGAGGGGGATCGCCAGTTTAAGCCAGCTGGCAGACTCGCTTATGTTGTAATAATAATACACGAGAAGAAGCGGGGGAGAGAGTTAGAATATATCTGTAAAACAAATTATGTAATAATACTTAATAAAATAAGAATAAAACAAGAATAAAATTGTTGTATTTATTTATAGTAAGTATATGAAACTGAATTCTAATCTAAAGATTACTAGGCAAGATACAGGAGTTTAATTTACGCAATTAAAAATAAAGACACGAAAACAGACTTAAGTGTTAGATACTACATATCCTTATTCATTTAATATAAGTTTTTTAATTTAAACTTCTTTTTAATTTTTATTTTCTGTGTGATTACCACGAATTTTTTCGTCTAATAGTGTAACTAATTTTACCATGGACCTTAACTAAATTAACTTCTTTTTCTGGCATTTGCCAGCACCCAGCTCGAGCTTGTCTTGCTATTACGCGAAGAAGGGGCTAGAGGGAGAGAGAGGTTTAATCCCAGTTTTAGATATCTTAACTCATATTCTTTTACCTGAACCGCGACACCCCACCCCCCCCCCGTGCGAATCGAAAGCATTATTACGCGACTCGACTCGCTTCAAGGTGAAGATACCTTAAATAGACTCTCTGATTTTATAACACCTCCTAACTCTAGATCGACCACTTACTTTAGACACTTAAGAAGTAAAATAAATCCTACCGTACTTTCATCGTTATTAGAAGTATCGTATAAGGACTTATCACGAAAGCGTTTTCACGTAGGTGCGGGACGATGGAGAACGGGGAATAGCTGCACTGGACTTTGATTTAAAGTCAATTCGGCTTATGTCTATTTATCATTTATTCATTTAGAGTATCAACACCCTGAATTATTTGAGACAATGAGAACTAGCGTATTATTCTGAGACTTCATAGAAAATAAGGAGGGAAAGGGCGCTGGAGGGGGAGGCTCACCACAGCCTCGCGTAGCGTATGCTGGGAAAGGGCGCTGGAGGGGGGAGGGCTGCTACCGCTACAAACGCCCATGATTACAAACAAATGGACATCCTTATTTGACTGCCTAAAGCTCAAGTTATCGCCATTGGTCCTGTTAAGACCTACAAATGAGTATATAAGGTATAGGTTTAAGGGAGTATATAAAGAATAGGTTTAAGGAGTATATATGGTATAGGTTTAAGGGAGTGTATATATAGGTTATAGATAATGATAAACCTCAGGTATTCTGCACTAATTATATATGTCATTTTACAAAA